CCGGCGAAGCTCATCAGTGGTTGACAGGGGCATTAAAGTGACATTAAAGCACGTGGGGCCTTGAGGAGCCGCTCCACGGGCAGGTCTTGTGATGAATGTCCTGCCGGGATGAAGCGGAGCCAGCGCCGCGCTGCAGAGCCAGCAGCACACGGCGGGTTATGAGCTGCCAGTTGACCTGCTGCACTCCACAGCTCCTGCAGCAATTGATTACCCATTTATTCAGCAGCTCTATTAATAATGGATCCCGTGCCTATAAACTATTTATAAAAGGAGCCTTCCTAGATGGAGAGGCTTATCCGTGCTGATCTGGGGCTGGGGAAGGGCTGCCCAGGCACCACCTGAGCTCTCCCGTGGTTGTGCCACACTCTCACCCCCGAGCAGACACAAATGTGGGGTGTTCCAGGCACCAGGCTGCATGGAATATGTTTTCTCTGCATAGGCATTAATGCAGAGCTGTTCTAGTGTTGCATTACTCCATCCCAAGCAGGGCCACACACTGGCTCCTGTCCCTTGCCACCAGCCATTCTCCTACATGTTTTGGGGTGGTTTCCCCCATTTCCTGCTGCAGCACCCTGGCTGCAACTCCTGGCATTAGCAACAGGCACATGTGAGGTGGTGGCTCTGAGCCCGGCCCACCACACACCTCTCAACTCTCCCCTTCTCTTCCTACAGCCAAGCTGGACCCCCCAACCCTGCAGAGCATCCAGTCCATCCCCTTCCAGACCGACTGCATTGCCCTGGCCTGGGATGTGGCGTGGGGCACAGAGCACATGGAGCTGCAGTGTGAGCTGCGCTACCGGGCACCCGAGGACCCTGCCTGGGCCCTGGTGAGTGCTGCAGGGGCAGGGGGAGCGGGCAGCAGCCAGGACCCTCCCTCTGCTCCAGGCAGTGGGAGAGGAAGGGTCCCCGTGTGGTGGGACAGCAAGGTGTCCCCCGAGCCCACAGCAGGGCCAGCCCTGAGTGGGGCAGGAGCCAGCACAGCCCTCGTTTGGCTGCCACCAGGTCACGGGCATCGTGGGCCAGGCGGGCACCGCGCAGCGCTGCGGCTTCCTGTTCGGCACGCAGTACCGCTTCCAGATGCGCTGCCGGCGGAGCTCAGCCTCGCCGCTGGCCTCCTGGAGCGAGTGGAGCCCCAGCAGGAACTACACCACCCACGAGAAAGGTGAGCGTGAGGCACCCGGGGGGTGCCCTCTGCCCGAGCAGGTGGCATGGTGCTGGGGACACAAGGAACGATGATGGGGACACATGGCAGAGCACTGGGGACACACGGTGTGGTGCTGGGGACACATGGCACAGTGCTGGGGACACAGGATATGGTGCTGGGAACACATGGCACACTGCTGGGGACACATGGTACAGTGCTGGGGACACATGGCACAGTGCTGGGGACACATGGCAGAGCACTGGGGACACATGGCACAGTGCTGGGGGCACACAGTGTGGTGCTGGGGACACATGGCACAGTGCTGGGGACACATGGCAGAGCACTGGGGACACACGGTGTGGTGCTGGGGACACATGGTACAGTGCTGGGGACACATGGCACAGCACTGGGGACACAAGGCACAGCTCTGGGGACACATGGCACAGTGCTGGGGGCTGAGCCACATGGGCCCCTCTCAGCTTCTCCCCCTCCCATTGCAGCCCCCGCAGGGAAGCTGGACGCGTGGTGGGGGGCTCAGCCGGCCGGGGCCGGGGGCCGGCAGGAGGTGCAGCTGCGCTGGAAGGTGAGCAGGGGTCGGGGGGCACTGCCTGAGGTCCCCGCAGGGACTGACACCCACCCACCCAGGACTGACACCCAGCCGCCCTGCCCACGCCAGGCCCCACGGCAGCGGGAGGCCAACGGGCGAGTGCTGGGCTACCGCGTCACCCTGAGCCCCCGGAGGAGGGGCAGGGACCCCCCCACCGTCTGCAACACCACCCACACCCAGTGCAACTTCTCGGTGCCCGCGGCCACCAGGAGGGTCTATCTGTCAGCCTACAACGCTGCCGGCGAGTCGGCCCCGACCGAGGTCATCCTCCTGGAGAGGACAGGTGGGGGCAGTGCCCGAAACCCCCGCGTGTCCCCGGGGCTCTGCCAGGGCAAACAGAGGGCAGACTCCAAACCCGGGTGTACAGGGGGAGAGATGTGAAAGGTGCTCCTCTCTCCCACCATCCCGGCTGCTGTCCCATTCAGGTCAGCCCCTGGCCGGGCTCCGGGCGGTGCCCGGGGGCGAGCGCAGCCTCTGGGTGCACTGGGAGGCACCGCTGGCCCCAGCGATCGCCTACGTGCTGGAGTGGCAGCGGGTGGCAGCAGAGCCTGGGCACTGCAGCGCGTGCTGGCAGTTGGAGCGGGACGGGGCAGCCACCACAGCCCTCATCCAGGGTAAGGGGGGCTGCCAGGGGGCCCCGACCCACTGGTGGGCTGTCCCAAAGGGCTGGCACCCCTCCTGTCCAAACCAGGACCCAGCCCTGCCCGCAGCCCACTCCCTACCCTCCCTTCTCCCTCTGGATCCGCCCCCAGGTGGGTGGGGGGTGCCGTGGTGCTGGGGGGTCTCAGCAGTGCCCGAGCTCCCGGCCCCCTCTGCTCTCCCTTGCAGATGGCATCGAGCCTTTCCAGCGCTACAACATCTCACTGTACCCCCTCTACGAGGGCACTGTCGGGGTGCCCGTCCACACCACAGCCTACTCCCAGCAGAAGGGTACGTGGGGAGGGTGCCCCACCACCAGGACTTCGCCCTTCCGAAAGGAGCAACCACCTCTTCCCCGTGTACCCCAAATCCAGGGGCTGTACCAAAGAGCTCAGCCCGGGGGGCTGGATTTGGCTCATCTCTGAGTGAGCTCCCAGCCCCCCTGCAGAACGGGCAGGTCCTGACACCCACACCTTGGGAGTGGGACCCCCCCACACCTTGGGAGTGGGACCCCCCCATCAGTTCCCACCCGAGGCAGTGGCTCTGCTCAGCACTTGGTCCCCTCCTTGTCCTGCTCTTTCCAGCACCTTCCCATGCCCCCAAGCTTCACCTGAAGAGGATCAGCAAGTCAGAGGCCGAGCTGTGCTGGGAGCCGCTGCCGGTGGAGATGCAGAACGGCTTCATCACCAGCTACACCATCTTCTGGGCCAGCAGCATCACCAACGTGGCCAGTGAGTCCTGCCCAGGGGCAGCACCACTGACCTGGCCCTCTGTCCCACCTGGATGTGTTGGGTGGAGATGTCAGGAGCCCCTGTGTCCTCCTCAGAGAGGGTCAGGGGGTTCTGTGGGTCCCTCACAGGGCTCCCTGCCTGCATTCTGCCCCACCAACAGCCCCGTGTGTCCCCAGGTGCCACCGTGAATCCTTCCCTCAGCTCCTTTGCCATCCGGGGGCTGAAGCCATCCACCCTGTACAAGGTGCACATCATGGCATCCACAGCTGCCGGCAGCACCAACGGCACCAGCCTGACCCTGGTGACCACAGTGCTGGGTGAGGGCTGCAGCCACCCGGGCCAGGGGGGCGTGGGAGGGGATCTGCAGCCCCCGGTGCTGCCCTGGCATCGTGGCACAGCACAGCTGGCGGTGCCCACTGCAGCTCCCTGCGACCCTGTCCCTGTTCCCAGATGACAGCGAGATCCAGTTCCTCTTCCTGAGTCTGGGGCTGGTCTTTGTCGGGCTCGTGGTGTTGCTCATCTGCTTCCAGAAGAACGAGCGGTGAGTGGCAGAGCCCTGCCCCGGGCTGGCCTGGATGCCACCAGCACTGAGGCCACCCATTGCAGCCCTCCCGGCTGAGCCCCTCGTCCCCCTGCTCCCCAGGATGAAGGAGCAGCTCTGGCCCAGCGTCCCCGACCCCGCCAACAGCAGCCTGGGCAAGTGGGTGCCGGCAGCGCTGCCGCAGGTGAGACCCGGCGGGTGCTCCCCGGTGCCCAGCCAGCACATGGCAGGGACAGCGGGGACAGCTGGCACCGCCCGTGACCCCCGCTGCCCCCAGGAGCCGCTCCTCGCCGCCAGGGAGCCCGGCCCGGCCGCCATCTCCACGGTCACTGTGCTGGAAGGAGAAGCGGGCAAGCAGCCGGGCAAGGAGCCCCCCGGCCTGGCCGCCGCCCCGGCGGCGCTGCCGCGGCCCTACGTGCGGCAGGAGGCTCCCGGGGAGCCGGTGCAGTACGCGCGGCTGGGCGGCGCGGGCTACCGGGGGCAGCGGCTGCTCCCCGAGCCCGCTCCGCGCTTCTACGAGAACCTGCGGGGCCGCGGGGACGGCGGCGGGGACTGGGCGTTCCTGGAGGAGCCCCCCGCCACCTTCCCGCTGCTGCAGGGGCTCCGCCTCGGCGGGGCCGAGGAGCTGCACGAGTGCCGGGCGGACTAGCGGGGATGGAGCGGGGCAGCGCTGCCCGGCTCCGCCCGCTCCGCGAGCGTGTCCCCTCCCGAGCGTGTCCCTCCGAAATAAACCGGGACGTGCTGAGAACAACCCGGGCGGCTCTGCGGGAAGGGAACGGGGACGGGGATGGGGACAGGGACAGGACCAGGAAGGGGACGGGACAGAGACAGGGATGGAGATGGGGATGGGGATGGGGATGGAGATGGAGATGGAGATGGAGATGGAGATGGAGATGGGGACGGGACTGAGACGGGGACGGGATGGGAACCAGGAGCGGGACTGGACCAGGACGGGGACGGGACCGAGACGGGGATGGATATGGGGATGGGGATGGGGATGGGGATGGGGATGGGGATGGGGATGGGGATGGGGATGGGGATGGAGACGGGACCGAGACGGGGACAGGACGGGAATCAGGAGCGGGACCGGACCAGGACGGGGACGGGACCGAGACGGGGATGGATATGGGAATGGGGACACGATGGGGATCGGGACCGGGACAAGGACGGGGACAGGCAGGGGACGAAACCGAGACGGGGACGGAGATAGAGATAGGGACGGGACCTGGATGGGGACGGGGACCGGCACAAGGATGGGGATAGTTAGGGGGGGTCCGGGACCGGGACGAAGACGAGGGGACGAGGATCCTGGACGGCCATCGACGCGCTCGGCGTTCGCTCCCTCTGCCCTGTCTCGGCGCTCGGCAGTCGCGCCTGGGCAAGATGGCGGCGCCCATGGCGGCGGCCATGGCGGCGTGTCGGTGAGCGCGGGCCATGCTGGCGCTGCTGGGCCGCGGCCTGGCCGCCGTGCTGGGCAGGGCACAGCCCGGTGAGGGGCGCGGGGGGCTCGGGAGGCAGGCTGGAAAGGGAGGGGGACCCCGCTGGAGGAATTGGGAGCGGCCCGGGCTGAGAGCGCGGGGAAAGGGCGGGCTCGGGGGACACTGAGGGGCCACACACCGCGCTCGTGGTGTGTCCCCCTGAAACGGGACGGGGCACCGGGTGGCCTTGGGGTACCCGGGGTGCGGGCAGGAGGCCGGGGGTCCCTCGGGACAGCGGGGCCGAGCCGGGGTGGCCGTGCCGGGGTGGCCTGAGGCAGGTCCTGGTCCCAGCTGCAGGGCCCTGGCAGAGGAGCTGGAAGGGTTTGTTCTTGGAAGGTCAGAGAATGACGGAGTGATCACCGGGCCGGTGATGAACATTCGCGTCTGTGTCACACAAAGGCTGGCCCCGGGTGTCACTGCCCCCGAGCTCTGACGCCGCAGCGGCCAGAGCAGCCCGTCCACGTCGCTAATGAGGTTAATTCATCAGTTAATTCAGCAGTTTAAGCCCTCTAAGTGAACACGTTTGCCCTCCCAGTGCTCAGGCTGCAGCTGCTGCTCCAGCCCTGGCGTTTGCCCCTCTCAGGCACCGTGTGAGAGCCCCCCTGAGCCACCCCACACCCTCTGGGACAGAGATGTGCCTGGTCCCTGATCACCCAGAGCCTCGGTGCTCTGACCAAGCAGCGTTTGGCTGCACAGAGCTGGAGGAGTGCACACCTGCCTGAATCCTTTCTGTTTCTCCCCCCAGGCTGCAGTGCTGTGCTCCAGGCAGCCAGGGGCTATGCCAGACCTGTGGCAAAGAAGAGGAAAGGTATGTCAGCGTGCACAGGAGTGGTGTTTTGGTGTTGGCATGCTCAGAGCTGCTCCCTCATGGCACAGAAATCATTCCAGAAATAGTTCCTTGCCAGCTCAGGAGTTACTCAGAAGATTCCCCTCTTTTTCAGTGTGGGGAAATGAACAATTGTCAGTAGCAGGACATCTGTGAGGGTGGGCAGGCCCTGGCACAGGGTGCCCAGAGCAGCTGTGGCTGCCCCTGGATCCCTGGCAGTGCCCAAGGCCAGGCTGGACAGGGCTTGGAGCACCCTGGGATAGTTCAGTGTCCCTGCCCATGGCAGGGGGTGGAATCAGATGGGCTCTAAGGTCCCTTCCAGCACAAACTCTTTAGGTATTCTGTGATCTCTGAGCTCAGTGGATTGTTCTAAATACATGTACACCGTACTGTAAATCCAGGGTGCTGAAGGGAAGGGACTGAAGCTATTTTTTTCACTCAATTCCTGCCCTTTTGGCTGGATCTGCTCAGTTCTTCTTGTTTGAAGCACACAGCCAGTGTCCTTCAGGACATGCCAGAGCTCTGACTTTGTCTGCTCTTCCTGCAATGTTTCTCTCTCTGCAGACATCCCCAGCCATCTGGATGACCTTCCTCCCACCATGCTGAAGAAGGATTATGCCAATCTCCCAGTCATGAGCAGGTATGGACAGGGAGAGGGAGAGGCTGCTCTCCCCAGGGGTTTGCACCTTACACACGAGGTGTGTGGAAGCTGGCACCTGCTCACTAATTGGTTATTAATGCTCTGTGGGCACAAAAATGGCAAAGTCAGTTTGAAATCAAATTTACAGAGACAGTGCTCAGGGCTTGATTGTTCACTCCAGGTGAGATCAAATGCTGGTTGCCAACGTCCTCTGTGGGCTTTGCAGTCCATAAGAAAATAAAAGGAAGTAATCTTGAAATACTGGAAACAGTCATCTTGCAAATAATCTGAGCCTGTCCTGAACTCAGGTGATGGAGAGTGTCATTAAACAACTCCACATGAATTCAGCTGCTGCCAGAGTTGGGCTCTGGGGCTCAGCACGGTTGTGCTCTGATGCAGAGCTGCTCATGTGTGGTGCAGGGAGGGCCCCCAGTGGCCCAACTGTGACTTTCACTGCTCCCTAGAGGAACCAGCCTTAAAATTAAATATTTTTGTAGCAAAATTACTTGATACTCCTGTAATCTGAGCCATGATTTTGCTTAGGAAAGTGAGCACCAGTTTATGGCTGCCAGGTTTGGCAGGGGGAGAATCCCTGTAAGTTTGTAGAGTAAATTAAAGCTGAGAAAAGTGAGTATGTTCTGAGAATCTGAGTTAATTTCTGTTGTTAAATAGACTTGTTTCTGGTTTATAAGCTAATTTTCCATCCCTTGCAGCGTGGATGATGTGGTGAAACGGCTGCTGTCTCTGGAAATGGCAAGTCAGGTCAGTGTCATTCTGCTGGCTTGAAAATAAAACAGATTGAATGAACACCTTCATGTGAGACTTCTCTGTGTTGTTAAATATCTTTCACTTTATTTGTGACACTAAACATGGGGGGGATGATGAAATACAGTGATAAATCTGGTTCACTCTTAAAATTTATCACACTAAAGTGGTAACAGTTGCATATTAAATGGAGAGAAGAAAGTACTCAGGGGTGACAGGGCAGTGAGCTGTTCTGCTGCTGCTCCTGCCTCACCCCCTGTGTTCTAGAAACCATTGCACTGGACAGCAGATGTCCTTCAAGTTATTTTTACTTTCCATATGCCCAGAAAACAAACAGGTAGGAAAGTGGCACAAGGATCTCTATGCCATTCCTCTGTGCTTGCCCCTTCAGCTTAAAAAGATGCAAAAGCACTGAGTAAAGGTCTGAATTGCAAAGCTTTTATCTGGGTGTTTGGGAAGGGAGCTGAGTGTTCTGGGACAGTGACAACCTCTTTTCTGTGCCCCACAGAGGGAGAAGTTGAAGGTAAAGACACAGCAGCTGGTGGAGAAGGTCAGGAGGTCTCCCAATGACAATGGCTCCTTTGAGGTGCAAGGCAAGTTAAAAAGGGAAGGGTATTGTTGGCAGATGAAACATCTCTGCTTCTGTTCAGCTGTTCCCACCCCAGCACTTCCAGCGTGCTGTGGAATTCAGGAGAATCTCCTCCAGGAGAGCTGCTGAGAGGCAGGCAGCCTGCAGGGTGCCCTGCAGGGCTGCTCCAGGTCTGGAAGTGTTGCAGAGGCTGCTGGGGTTCTTCCAAATTCCTGCTCCACATCCACCCTCCAAAGGCACTGTGTGCTTCATTCTGCCTGGAGTGTTTCTGTGAAGCACTGAGCTGCAGCTGTTACCAAAATGAGCCAAATTCAGCCACAGAACCCAAATTTTTCTCTCTATCAGAGAGCTGTGGCTGAGGCACAGTGGGGACAGTGCAGGGACAAAGGTCATGTTGTACTGACCAGCACTGACCACTCCTTTGTCATCAGCAAAGCCCTTCAGTGCCTCAGGATGCCACCAGCCCCTCCCTCCAGAGCCTGAAATCCCAAAGACCTGGCTGCTGCAGCAATAAAAACCCTTTATTGCTGTCTGCTCCCCCAGAGCTTTAATCCCATGAGGTGAAATAAATGTCAAATCACTGTGAACTGAATGAGTGCAAGAGGAATAGATTCACAGATAAATTTACAGGATGTATTGCTAAAACCTTACCCTCTAATTAAGCAGCCTCATAACAGTCACAACCCTGCAGGCTGTGTGTTCCTGTTTGTTGGGGACAGTGTTTTGTTGTGGGGAATGTTTTTCTGCTGCTGTGGGCAGTGTTTTGCTGTGGGGAATGTTTGTTCTGCTGCCGTGGGCACTGTTTTGCTGTGGGCACTGTTTTGTTTTGGGCACTGTTTTGCCATGGGCTGTGCTGCTGTGGGTCCCTGCAGGGGCAGCAGTGCTCAGCTGGCAGCTTGAGGCAAGGCAGAAGGTCCTGGCTCACCTGGGAAAGCTGCTGCTCTCACACAGCTTCTCTCTGTCCTTCACAGTTGCTATTTTGACTGCCAAGATCCGCACGCTCGAGGAGCACCTCCAGAAGCACCCCAAGGTAACTCAGGGATCTGAGCCCACAGCTGCTCAGGTGCTTTTCTCAGTTTACAACAAAAGGAGTTTAATCCTGGGGATTATGGCTCTCCTAAGGAGCTTTATGAAATAGTTACAGCTGCTCCCTGGTGCCAGTGTGGGGAGCTGCTGGCTCAGGCACAGCTGGATTCTCGCCCACTCTGCTCTGTGTTCTGGTTTGTTACTGTAGTGGAGGAAACAGCTGAGCAGATTCCTTTGGGCAGACCTGAGCTCCATTTCTCCTCACTGCAGATGTGGCTTCACCTCTTAGTTTTCACTAATTATGGAATGCAGCTGCAGTAATTAACAAAGAGCAAAGCCTGTGCTTGTTCTGCTTATGGAAAGGTTTGGTGGACAGCACTGTGTGAATGTCCCACTCCCCTGTCTGCAGCTACCTGAGTTCAGGCTCAAATTTGACTGAATTTATGTTCATAAACCAGATATCCAAGATTCTTTATGTGGGCAAAAGGTGGGAAATGGATTGATAACTGCATTTGAAAGAAGTGCATAATTGTTACTCATGAAAACCTGGATGGTACAAGAGAACAGAACTGAGCTTTTTACTACAAGCCACCAGAAGCTGTACCAGGTGTTGAAGTTGGACCTTTTGGAATTCCTTGGCTGAATTTTTTACATAAATCACTTGTATAGGACAGGGAGATTGCCTGTGAGGGACTGCCTTGACTGGTGTGGCTCAGGCTGTGCTTGTGCCCTTCCAAAGAACAGCCAGTCAGAGCCAGGTCACAGATTATTTTCATATTTAATTTCTGGCAAAACAAAGGTAAATGCTTCTGTTATTCTGAAGCAGCACTCTTCAAGAGAAGCAGGTTTTAGCCAGAAGACCTTCCCTGCAGCTTTGGCACTGCCTGAATCTGTCCACAAGCTGAAAACAGTCTTCAGGGAAGCTGAAGGTGCAGCCACGGAAGGGAGAAAGCAATTCCAGTGCAAAGTAAATTACATCTCCTTGGATCAGCTTGTGCTGACCTGATGTGCTCGCAGCATCTGCCAACAGAAATTGTTCTAAGACTCTGTCCTTAACCTTATCATTGCCTTTCAGCCAAAATCTGCTCTGTTCTCAGTAATTTACTGGACAGGCAGGACAATCTGCTGTGGCATTCACATTTTCTGGAAAAATCCCTTTGCCCAGGATTTTTCTCCTGGGAAACCGAGAAGCCTCAGAGATAAGGGGAAACAATAATTATCTGATTTGTTTCTCCTGTGTTTTGCTCTTTTGGAATGTGTTTGGAGATTGTTTACCCACAGGTGATTGTTTCATTGGTTTCTGGTAGGGGTTGTTTTCACTCTTTGGCCAATCAAGGCCAAGCTGTGTCAGGACTCTGGAAAGAGTAATGAGTTTTCATTATTAGTTTTTCAGCCTTCTGCAACTATCCTTTCTGTATTCTTTAGTATGTTATTGTTTAATATAATATAGTATCATAAAATAATAAATTAGCCTTCTGAGAACATGGAATCAGATTGATCATTCCTTCCTCCATCTGGGGGCAGCACAAATACCATAACCTGCCTGCAGTGGAGTGAAGGTTGGGTGCCTTGCAGGACAAAAAGAACCGCAGGTTCATGCTGATGGATCTGGACAGGAGGAGGAAGATGCTGGGCTACCTGCGCCGGGTCAACTACAGCACCTTTGAGAAGACCTGCAAGGAGCTGGGCATCCAGTACAGCCCCCCCCAGCCCTACAGCCGCCGCCTCACCAAGCGCTGGCTGGCCAAGAAGGCTTTGTGCATCAAGGTAAGGAGCAGGCTGCACTGGGAAAAACCCCTCTGGAAAAGGGTGGGAAGTGGATTTTGTGGCATTCACATTTTCTGGAAAAATGCCTTTGTCCAGATTTTTCTCCTGGGAAGCTGAGAAGCCTCAGAGGAAAAAGAAAATAATTATCTGATTTGCTTCTCCTGTGTTTTGCTGCTTTGGAATGTGTTTACCAACAAGTGATTGTTTTATTTGTTTCTGCTCTGGGTTATTTTCACTCATTGGCCAATTGGGGCCAAGCTATGTCAGGACTCTGGAGAGAATCATGAGTTTTCATTATTATCTTTTTAGCATTCTGTCTGTATCCTTTCTGTATTCTTTAGTATAGCTAGTATAGTATTCTTTAATATAATATAGTATCATAAAATAATAAATTAGCCTTCTGAGAACATGGAATCAAATTCATCATTTCTTCCTTCATCTGGGGGAAAAGCAAATACAATAGGATTTGTAGAAAATTCTTAAAGTTTGATAGAAGTTATGCCAGCCCAGCTCCTGGACTGTTTGGGGCAGAGTGGGTTGCATTGCAATGGGAAGGAGTTTCCAGGAATAAATTTGTAAATCTTATACAGACACAGCACATGCAATTGTGTGAAATTCAAATAGTATGTATTTGTATGGAAACTTTGAGATAAGAAATATTTTTACAGTTTGATGCCTTAGGTTTGTAAACGCTGAATTTTAGTCCAATTAAATTATAACCAAAGGACTGGACTAAAGGTGTCCAGGGAATGGCAGTCAGTGCTCTGGCCTGGCTGACAAGGTGGGGATGGGTCACAGGTTGGACTCTGTGGTCTCAGAAGTCTTTTCCAGCCTGAAAGATTCAGTGATTGACTGGGTGGCTGTAACAGAATAATCTCAGATGGTTCCCTGGGGCAAGGAAGGCACAGAGGGAGGATTTGGTCTGGCTCCTGCTGGAACCGCTCTGCCTGCAGCAGGCAGCCTGGGCAGCAGCTCTGCAGGCAGCTTTATCTCTCTCCCTTCTCTTCCACAGGTGTTCCAGGAGAAGCAGAAGCTGAAGGCAGCTGAGAGACTGAAGCAGAGGAGAGAGTGGCAGGCGAGAGCAAGGGCTGCACGGGAACAGCAGGAGAAGCAGGCACAGGAGAAGCAGGCACAGGAGAAGCAGGCACAGGAGGGGACACCTGTGTAGTGGCACAGCCAGGCTGACAATAAACACTTGCCCAAAGACCTGAAGCCTCTTTGCTCATGTGGTGTGGTCTGTGCTGTTCTGAGCACCTGCGAAGGGCAGCTGGTGGTTTGAGTGGTTTGGAAGTTCAATTTCAGGCTCAGTGCTGGGCAGGTTGGTCTGTGAGAGGACCTGGGGCTCCAGCATTACCCTGCAGGTCTGTCAGTGGGGACAGCTCAAGGGCTGCCTGTGCCCTGTCAGCACAGCCAGTCCAGAGGTTTGTGCTGCCACATTTTCTTAGATACTTATAAACTGAAACTTAAGACATTTAGATTGGATATTATGAATAAATTCTTCTCTGTGAGGGTGGAGAGGCCCTGGCAAAGGGTGCCCAGAGAAGCTGTGGCTTCCCCTGGATCCCAAGGACAGGCTGGACAGGGCTTGGAGCAGCCTGGGACAGTGGGATGTGTCGTTGCCCATGGGTGGTACTGGATGGGCTTTAGGGTCCTTTCCAACCTAAACCATTCTTCAGTGCATTGGGGCCGTGCTTATGCACTGGGGTGATCCAAACAGGGAGTGGGATGGTGGGACAGGGACAACGCGCACACGGACCGGGGATGATGCACACGGGGGTTGTGACAATGCACACACTCACACTGGGACTGTGCACACTCACACCGGGATGACGCACACACGGATCGGGAGGATGCACACGTGGATCACCATGACGGACACACTCACACCAAGATGATGCACACATAGATCGGGATGATGAGCACACTCACACCAGGAGGATGCACACACAGGTTGTGACAATGCACACACTCACACTGGGACTATGCACACTCACACCAAGATGATGCACACATAGATCGGGATGATGAGCACTCTCACACCGGGAGGATGCACACGTGGATCACGATGATGGACAGACTTACACCAGAACGATGCACACGTAGATCGGGAGGATGCAGACATGAATCGGGACGATGCACACACTCACAGCAGGATGATGGACACTTAGACCAGGAGGATGCACACACTCACACCGGGATGATGCACACTCAGATTGGGATGAAGCACACACTCACACCAGGAGGATGCACACACTCACAGTGGGACAATGCACACATGGATCACGATGGTGAACACACTCAGACTGCGAAGATGGTCACTCACACCGGGATGATGCACACACTCAGAGCGGGATAATGGACACTCATATTGGGACGATGCACACACTCACACTGGGATGATGGACACTCACATCGGGAGGATGCACACGTGGATCACAATGATGCGCACACTCACACCAGGGTGATGCACACATGGATCACGATGATGTATACACTCAAGACTGGGATGATGCACACTCACACCGGGAGGATGCACACATGGATCAGGAGGATGCACACACTCAGACTGAGACGATGCACACACTCAGACTGGGATGATGCACACTCACACCGAGACGATGCACATGTGGATCATGATGATGCGCACACTCACACCGGGATGACGCACACACGGATCGGGAGGATGCACACGTGGATCACCATGATGGACACACTCACACCGAGATGATGCACACATGGATCAGGAGGATGAGCACACTCACACCGGGAGGATTCACACACTCACACTGGGATGATGGTCACTTACACCGGGACGATGCACACGGGGATCACGATGACGCACACACTCAGACTGAGACGATGCACACCCACACCGGGATGATGGACACTCACACCGGGAGGCTGCACACACCAATCAGGACGATGCACACTCACACCAGAGTGATGCACACATGGATCACGATGATGTGCACTCAGACCGGAATGATGCACACTCAGACCGGGATAATGGACACTCACATTGGGACGATGCACACATGGATCACGATGATGCACACACTCACACTGGGATAATGGACACTCACACCGGGATAATGCACACTCACAGCAGGGTGATGCACACATGGATCGGGAGGATGCACACACTCAGACTGAGACAATGCACGCTCACACCAGGACGATGCACACACGGATCACGATGATGCACACACTCACACTGGGATAATGGACACTCACATTGGGACGATGCACACATGGATCACGATGATGTATACACTCAAGACTGGGATGATGCACACTCACACCGAGACGATGCACATGTGGATCATGATGATGCGCACACTCACACCGGGAGGATGCACACCCACACTGGGATAATGGACACTCACATTGGGACGATGCACAGACTCAGACTGAGACGATGCACACTCACACCGGAATGATGCACACTCACACCAGGACGATGCACACACGGATCACGATGATGCACACTCACACCGGGAGCTGCGCCTGCGCGCCCCGCCGGCCAAGACGGCGCTCCCCGGTTGGCCCCGCGGCTGCCCGGCAACGGCGGCGCGGGGAGCGGGGCCGGGCCGGGCCGTGCCGAGCCGTGCCGCAGCCATGTCGGTGCGGACGCTGCCGCTGCTGTTCCTCAACCTGGGCGGGGAGATGCTCTACATCCTGGACCAGCGGCTGCGCGCCCAGAGCATCCCCGGCGAGAAGGCGCGCAAAGGTGAGCGCCGCGCGGGCCCCTCCGCTCCCCGGGCAGGGCTCTGCCGCCCTGCCGCCTCCCTGCCGCCTCCCCGGAGCTTTCCGGATGCCTCAGAGTGAACTAGGCTGCGAAAGACCTTTAATATACCCAGCCCAAGCCGTGCCTGGCACCCCCTCACAGCTAAACCCTGGCACTCAGTGCCACCTCCGGTCTGTGTTTAAACACCCCCAGGGACGGTGACTCCATCCCTCCCTGGGCAGACCATCCCACCTCCCAGCCACTCTTTCCGTGAATAATTTTATTTTTTTTTTTCTGATGTCTAACCTGACCTTCCCCGGGCGCAGTAAGGCTGTGTGCCCCCCTGCCAGCCGTGGGGACACGCTGCGCTGTCACCAGAGGATGCTGCGAACTCCCCCTGCCCCGATCTCAGTAATTACCGCAGTAATTATCGCAGAAACCAGCCCTCAGTGTTCTGTGCTCTCCACTCAGCTCAGTGAAGTTCTGTGCTGGGAACAGCCCGAGGCTGTGCTGAGGCTGCTTTGGGAGGTTCTCACCCAGGAGGAGAAAGTGGAGTCGGTGTTGGTGTTTCCGTGCTCAATTCGGGGGTTAAAGCTTCAGAAATGCACTTCTGGACTCAAAATAACCCAGGATTTGGTTATGTCAGCCCAGCTCCTGGGCTGTTTGGGGCAGGCCATGTTGCTTTGCAATGGGAAGGAGTTTCCAGGAATAAATTTATAATTGTCATGCAGAGATTCAAATACCACTACAGCTCCTGAAACCCTTGTCTGGCTTTTAATACAATCTCATTTGGCTAAAATCCTGGTACAAACAGAGCCTCGTGTCTTCACGTGGGCCATGAAACTCCAGCTCCCAGCCAAGCACCTCTGAATTTACCACTTCAATTTTTTTTTTGCTTTACAAGTCCTTGCACCTCTCTGTCAGGGCATGGGGAATGTGCCTTGAGAAGCTCTGTGGTGTTTTAATAAAAAATCAACTTGGTATGAGCTTGGTATTGTTATCCCTTCTGCCTGTCCTTTATGAAGTGCTAAGCAACAAATGGTTCACTGTGTAATTGTTGTATTGTTTGTGAGGGGGAAATTTGTAATTATTCACGTGTGTCCTGATGAGGGAATGATGTGACAGAAGTTTACTGCTGTTTACTTGCTGGGGACAAGTTTAGGATTTTAGCTAAATTAAATCTTGGTGGAGTATCTCAGCAGGAGAATTGGCCTGTTTTGGTTTGTCCATGCATGGATTTTTTTTTTTCTTCTTCCAAAAAATTGTGTGTTAATTTCACTGAGATGTGGTTCATCCACACTGAGGTGTTTGTTGTTCACTCAAATGTTGGTTACTTTAAGTGCAAAATACAGATGAAAACTACCCAAGCTCATGCAAAGGATAAAATTTGATGTGCACTGAAGCAGCAGGATTTTATCCAAGGGGAGGGTGAGGTTCTTGTTCAGTGCTGAATGCTGATGAGACAAAATCCACTAGTTAGCTTCTTTTCTTTTTAAGTTTATTTCTTTCTATTTTCTTTTCTTCTCCTTGCAACTCTTGTTCTTACATCTTGAACTGCTGTTTTGTTTTATATGCTTCGTGTAGATGAATGGACAGATGTGGACAGGAAACGAGGTACAGTAACTGCTGGCTGCATGCACCAGTCCAACCCCACGTGCACACCTGGGGCTCATCGTGCCTGAACACCTGAGGCTGTTCCTGCAGCCTTCAGTCAGTGTCACAAATGAACAAGAATGCTCACCTTGAACGCCCTTTTGACTGTAAATCAGTGAAAAAAAAAACCAGACCATATCTTAAAATCATATGGCTTCAAAAATCAGCTGTTAATTTAACTGAGAATATGAATGGATCAAAGCTTTTTATGCTGGTGGTCTTGCCTGCAAAAATGGTATTTGTGTTTCTTTACCACTGTTTTCATGCAAGCATGTAATTGTGTGAGCATTGTGCAGGTCGTTTTCCTGCTTAAACGCAGGAATCTTGAGTGTATTCCATTTTCCAAGGTTTTATCTGATGCATTGCTCAGGGTTTGGACAGGTGAACTCCAGGGATGATCGAAGGCATTCCCATCCCAGCTGCTTTACCCACCTGTGCTGGTGGTCACACCTGGCACAGTCATCCCAAAGGAGCAGGAGCCCACAGCTCATCCTGGCTGCAGGGAGCCTGAGGGGGGATTGAGCCCTCGGGTGTTTCCCTCTGGAATCTGCCCTGGAACAGGAGCCTGCAGCGAGGGCAGTGCTGAGGAATGAGGAAATGAATCTCTTGGATGTCAGGTTTTTGCTCAGTGAGCATGAGCTGCTTACAGGGTCCTTCTGAGCAGCCCTTTTTTAAGAGGGATCAAGGCTGTGATTGGTGTTTTGCAAAATAGGCATCATTTGGGTAGGTTTTAGTATTTACTGAAGGTAAATGCTGATGTCCTGGAGTCTGCCCCGGCTTTTTTCTTACCATTACACCCTGTTTCCAGGCACACCCTTTAACTCAGAAGTCC